AGTCCCCATTTTCTGGGAGTCCTTTGGCATCCTAATTCTCCCGGGAGACCCTCACCCAGTGCTCCTGCCTGTCTTTCCAGGTGATCAATGCCATTGAACAGGACTACCGGCTGCCCCCGCCCCCAGACTGCCCTACTTCCCTGCACCAGCTCATGCTGGACTGTTGGCAGAAGGACCGGAATGCACGGCCCCGCTTCCCCCAGGTGGTCAGCGCCCTCGACAAGATGATCCGGAACCCGGCCAGTCTCAAAATCGTGGCCAGGGAGAACGGCGGGTGAGGATCCCAGGGAGCGGGTCACCTTCCCACGCTCTGCCACCCCCTTACCCCTCAGAAGTATCCGTTCCTCTGGTGGTCTGTGGGATTGGCCCTGCCTGCCTCTCCCAGGCTGGGCCCAGAGTCCCCACCCTGATATGTAGCACTGGAGCTCAGCACGCCCCTCCCTGTCCGATCCTCCCAGGGCCTCGCACCCACTCCTGGATCAGCGGCAGCCTCACTACTCAGCTTTTGGCTCTGTGGGTGAGTGGCTTCGAGCCATCAAGATGGGAAGATACGAAGAAAGTTTCGCAGCCGCTGGCTTTGGCTCCTTCGAACTGGTCAGCCAGATCTCTGCTGAGTAAGTCGTGGCAGGAGCTGGAGGTGGTGGCTGAGAGCCAAGCAGTCTGAGGGGCACCTGGGGACCAGAGTCAGGCCCACAGATTTAGCAGGGACCTTTGGGGGCCCAACCTTGTTGTCTAGAGTTTCCCCTACAAAAAAAGCAGTAACAGCTCTGGAGGCTGAGAGCCCACAGAATCTCCCAGGTGGGCAGTGCCCTGCTCAGCCCTTTGGGCCACCCCATGGCCCTGCCGTACCGTGGGTATCTATCCTTGTGTATCTACATTCCAGGCTCTGCTCTCACATTAACATTGACAACTCCGGTTTCCCCACCCATAAAAGGAGGAGGTTGGACTGGGTTTCGGAGATGCTTTCCAGCTTTAATGTTAAATGGTTTTATGGTTCCAACGCCTCTCAAACGCTTTGTTCCCCAAAACGGCCTCTCTGGGGCTCCACCTTTCTGCCTTCCCATTTCCCTCCCAGGCTCTTTTCTCAGGCCAGGTTTGAATAACACATGGAAGGAAGAGAAATCTGGAACCAGAGGGTGGGAGGCAGTCTTGCTGCAGGGCAGGTCATGGACATATTCCACCCACCCCCACTGTTCCAGCGACTCCCTGACACAGGTCCATGCTCTCTATTTCCCACTTCTTCTGTTCTCCCTTATCTCGGTCTCCAGGCTTCTGGAGGCCTCGGGATGGGGGCGGGAGGGGGCGGAGCAGCTCGTTTTCGCCCCTCCCCCTTCCTCCACACACACTCTTCCTCTCTCTCCGCCCTTTTCCTTCTGACTTCTCTTTTCTATTCTAAAGCAATCTGTGCAGCCCCTTCCCCCAACTTCATTCTTGTGCGTTTTTCTCTTTCATCCCTCCCCTTCTTGGATTCTCTGCCTTTTCCTAATCCTCGCTGGAGCCCGAAGCTGCAGCCCCCACAACCTCCCACCAGCCAGCCCAGCTCAGCTACCTAGCCCCACCCTCTACTGCGGCTGCGCAGAAGGACTGCGGCTTGCTCAGCCTGCTCCTAAATCCTCCGGAAACTGCAGGCAACTATTGGCAACTATCGAAGTGCTCCGCCCCTGCTGGCCTTCCTGATTGGCTGCCAGTCCTGAGGCAGGACGCAGTGTTTGGAGCTAAGAGCCTCCCTGGGAGCCCGTTGGCCTCACCTAGCTCTCCCTTCTTCCCCAGGGACTTGCTCCGAATTGGAGTCACTCTGGCGGGACACCAGAAGAAAATCCTGGCCAGTGTCCAGCACATGAAGTCCCAGGCCAAGCCTGGAGCGTCAGGCGGGTCCGCAGCACCAGCCCCCCAGTACTGACCTGCACCTGCTTACCTGGCCCCACAGCTCTGGAGCGGCCGGAACTCCCAGCTGGGGACACCCCTTCTTCCTGGAGCCGAGTCGGATGGAGACCCAAGAGGCCTTCATTCCTAGGCCCCACTGGATTGCACTTTGAACCCATGGGGGTGGGGAGCTGGCAATTTGGAGACAGGATTTGAGGATTCTGCCGTATGAGAGTAGAAATCACATGTGTCCCCTTCCTTCCCCCGACGTTCGCCAAGTGTGCGGGAGCCCTTCCCTCAGGATTGGGTGTGACCAGAGGGAAAGGAAGCGCTTATAATCTGCCAACTTCCCAGAGGTGGTTGGGCACGATCCCCACAATCTCCCTCTGATCCCCAGTTAGGGCCCCACGTGCCCGCTTTCACCTTGAAGGGCCACCGCACAGCCCTACAGACCAAAGAGAAGAGGGTGACTAGCCTGTGAGCTCGGGGGTGGAGCCTCGCATCATTGCGGGAGGCGGGAAGGGGCGTCAGGACCCAGTGACAAAAATCATTGGACTTGGATGTCCCAACCTTGCTGCTGTCTTCCCCGAACTCAGTTTTCCCTTGTAAATGCCCCTCCCCCATCCGCTGCCTTCATATTGAAGGTTTTTGAGTTTTATTTTTTGTTTTGGCCTTATTTTTCCAGCCCCCCCCTTTTGTTGTTTGTTGTTGTTTGTTCTACTGTCTTTGTCATAACCTTTTGTGTTGGAGGGGCCTGTTTCATTATTGCCTCCTTTGCCCAGTGTGAAACAGGGCCTCATCGCTGTGTCTGTTTCTGGAACAGTGCCTTGGTCACACCACAACTCCCAGACACTTCCCTGGCCCCAAGTACCCCCAAGCTGTGTCCATGAGGGGCTGTGGGGAGGGTTGAGGTGGTGGTGGAAACCGGAGACAGACACCGGTGCTTGGAGGGGATCTTAAATTATATTTAAAACTTTTTTTTTTGTATAAATAAAAGAAAATGGGAAGCGATGCTGTTCTGGGGGTGATTGGGAGTGGAGGACGGACTGCGTTTTTGCAGAGAGTGGGGCCTGGGTACGGAGGAGGGGTCAGAGGTCTGGAGATAGTGCTGTGGGGGTCTGTGGGCTTGGTTCTGGGGCCTCAGGGTGTGTCTGAGGTGGTGGGGTGGGGGCTGTGGGAGATGAGTCATTGGCAGCTGCTTCTAACAGCTCCAGATGGCTCTGCCAAGAGCCTGGGGCACCTCCGGGGTGGGGCTGCCCCCTCCCTCCTCTGTCCTGGTTCCCCAGCCCTGGTAGGGGGCCTAGTGAAGCTGGGGAGGACTTGAGCTTATAGCCCTGCCTCACAGCCCCCTGAAGGGGCATAGGGGGGCATCGGCTGGGGTGGGGGTCCAGTCAGATGAAGGAGACAGATGTGGGCCAGATGTTGGCAGCTGGGGTTGGTTTAGAAGCAATGGGAGGAAAGTCTGCATGGGCTGTGGGGGAGGGGCAGAGCTGGAGTGAGGGATGTGGACCCCCCACGGGTGTACACACACACACACACACACACACACACACACCCTGGGCTGAGTCCTTGGGAAGACAATTCCCCCTTTCAAGATGCTGCCCGGGCAGGTTCTCCCAGCCTGTTCGGAAGGGGAGGGGAAATCACCGGAATGTCTTCCCCCCAATTTCTCCCTCCCAAACAGGAAGATGGGATGGGGTCAAGCCCTTGCGAGTCCTTGTTGCCCTCTTTTGTTCCTTTGCTCCCAGTCGGCCCACCCTCAGGGACACCTGCAGGGGCCAGCCTTGCAGTTTCTGCATCTCTGGTGCCCCCTGTTGTGCTGGGGTCTGTGCAGGACCCCAAATCCCAGCTTCTGCCCTTCCCAGCCCAGGCTGCCTCAGGTGGTGATCCTGTCTGATTTCCTACCTGGCCCTTCTAATGTCCCAGCCTCTTCTAGAGTCCCTAATGCTCTGGAATCCTCCGTCCACTCCCTCCATGACCTATCACTCCTGTTTTATACACCCAAGAGGTATGGGAGGGACTCCATCCTTAGCAGGATGTACGGGGTGTGGGTCCAGAAGGAGGTCTATCTGGGAGGATGCTGACCCCGGCCACCCCTTTCCCCTCCCAACCAGACATACGGGCTAGATAAGGTGACCTTAGTTGCTGAAGGGAGGAGCAGAGGTCAAGGGGACAGGGCATAGATGAAAAACCGAGGCAAAAGGTCAAAGATGCGGTGAAGGGATCTTGGGTGGGGGCAGGTGTGCAGCAGGGAACACCACGATGTCCGAGCGAAAGCGCCGCCAGCTCACTGGCAGAACCCCCTGAGCACTGCGGCCATGAGTCTGAGCTGTCTCCGCAGCTAGCCCAGTCCGGGGCCATCCCTCCCTCCCTGGGGCCCTTCCCCACCCAAGTGGGGTTGCCATGCCTTAAACAAGGGTGGCTGCAAGGGACATCTCAGAGAGTAAGCACAGAGTAAGGGTTCCTTTGTAGGACCCAGTGTCCTGTCTTCTCTGGCATCCCCTGTCCCTTGGGGTCTTACATCCTGGCCTCCCCACTCCAATTGGCAGCCTTCCTTAACCTCTTGGAGCCCAAGCAGGATGTCCCAGGGCCCATCCCCAAGCAGCGACCTGCCCTGCCTGGTGGGAGGCTTGAGACCCTGAGGGAGGGCTCAGAATGTTAGTCCTTTGGCCTGTGGCCACTCCCACTGCGATGGGGCTCCAAACTCCTCACCCCCAGACCTCACCAGCAGTTGCCATAGTAACCCCTAGGTCCTCTTGGGAAATGGATGTGCTCAGAAACCAGGGGCCTCCCCCGAGGGTCACAGGCAAAAAAGCCACATTCCCCATCTTTAGCTGCCACCCGGTGTTTCATCTCATCGTTAGAAATGTCAGACTCCTCAGGATCACCTGGGTTCCTGTGCAGACTGAAAAAGTGCAGGCTTTTCTCCCACTTCCTGGAAGCCAGAGGGCTGGATGCCCTACCCCCAAGTGGCTCTGTCCAAGGGACAGTCAGACTTCGGTCCTCTGCCCCCTTGGACATTTGCAGAGCACCCACTGCTAGCCACCCCCCGCCCCCGCACACCCATGTCCCTCACTATTTCACCCCCACCAAGACCCACCTCGCAGACCCCTTCCTCCACCACAGTCATGTAGAAATTCACATTTCAAAAAATAAATTTTATTTTCGCTCTCCTTTTTTGAGGGCAACTCAAAACTGAGAGACTCTAAGGGAATGCTCTGGAACGAAATCTGAGGAGAAAGCAAGAAACCCCGTGTTAGAGGCAGACTCAGCTCCCAGTCACCAAGGCTTTGTGGGGCGAGGATGGTTCTTACCAGCGTCTGCCAGCCTGTCTCTGTTCTGGATCTGCATGTTCTCCCTGGGGGTGGTGGGAAAGAGAGGAGGGTCGGTGCCCACGCCCCTGCAGACTCGTCCCCACCCACCCCTGCTCATCCCCTTTCCCAGAACTCACCTCCTCCTCCTCTTCCTGGAAACACATTCTCTGGTTACTGCCGGCACTATGACTACCACAGGCACAAGCATCCCCGACAGGATGGCCACAAAGTTGGATGCTTCTGGGGTGCGGGGGGCAGAACAGAGGGATGTGGGGGAGGAGACACTCCCTTTTGCTCCTAAGTTGCCACCCAGAAAGGACTGTAACCCCTGAATCCCTGAGTGTGACTAGTTCTCCCTCCAGAAGGCCTTGGCACCATATGCCCAGGATCTCTTTTGTGTTTCTGGACACATAACTACCATGCTTGGTAAAGGGGTTCTTGGTCCAGCTGGCCCCCTAGAGTCCAGGGTATCATCGTGGCCAGTGCTTCTTGATGAGCAGCCCTGGAATCACTTCTAAAATTTCTTTTTAATGTTTATTTATTTTTGAGAGAGAGAGTGTGAGCAAGTGGGGGAGGTGCAGAGAGAGAGAGAGGACACAGAATGTGAAGCAGGCTCCAGGCTCTGAGCTGTCAGCACAGAGCCCGATGTGGGTCTTGAACCCTCGAACCATGAGATCATGACCTGAGTCGAAGTCCGACACTTAACCAACTAAGCCACCCAGGCGCTCCTGGAATCACTTCTATTTGTCATCTGGGAGCTTGTTAAAAATGCAAATTTCTGGGCCCACTCCAGACCTACTGAATCCAAACCTCTGGGTAGCAGGGAGTTGAGGGGGGAGTCCTAAAATGAACATGTGGAAAAAGCCACCCCCATCCATCCCACCTTGGATGAGAAGTGAGATAAAGTTGGAAAACCATGGGCCCAGAGGCTCAAGGGAATTCAAGTTTGGGATGGGGAGAAAGAGTCAAAGGTACTGGAGAGGCTTAGATGGATCCAAGATGGGACAGTATTAGCAGGGTGAGGCAAGGAGACCAGAGAAGGGAGCTGGGGTTCAGAGAGAAGATCCCAGAGGACAGCAGGTCCCCCTCATAATCGGGTTTCTCTTTCCACACACCCGCAGTCACCCAGTCACCCGCAGTCCAGAGGCAGATGGTCCTTTTGACGTAGCATCAGAAGATCAAAAGATCAACCGTAGCCTAATGCTATGTCACAATGCCTTTCACCTCACCTCACCATCTTATCTCCCATCATCACAAGAAGAAGGGGAAGAGAGAGACCACAGGCACATAACTTTTATTACGGTAATTGCTCTAATTGTTCTATTTGGTTGTTATTGTTAATCTCTGTGCCTAGTTGATAAACAAAACATCATACGTCTGCGTGTCCAGGAAAAAAACAGATGGGGTCCGGTGCTGCCTGTGGTTTCAGGCATCCACCTGGCTTTGGATGAGGGTCTTGGAGGAAAGTACCCCCAAAAGATTAGTAGTGGGCGGCTACTGTATGTCAGTAGGGGATGGGCATGGGGATTTGGAGTCTTTGGAAGTCCTCGTCTTGCTAATCTCCAGGGAGCATATTATGTTCTTATGTTTTCTATAGTGCATGTTATATTAAGAATATATTATCCATCTGTTATAGATGTGTAATAGGCATCCATTATATGTTCATATTATATATATGGGGTAATGCTGTAGCAATTGGTGGTGGGGAAGGGGCTGTGCGGAGACAGGGTCTGGGATGAAGTTCTTACCTGGTTTTCCAGGGGGTGGCGCATCCCGGGGCTCTGTGCAGAGGTGCCCCCCATAACCGAGTTCACATTCACAGGTGAAGTGGGTTCCCTGCTCCTGGCACCGCCCATCATTCTGACAGGGGTTCCGCAGACACGGGCTTTCTATGAGGATAAAGGGGATGATGGGGGGGGTGCCTCTAGGAGGCCACCCACAGCCAGGGAGGGGGGCTAGGGGCTGGGACTCCAGAGAGGAAAGTAGAGTCTCAAAGAGACTGGGCAGGGGTCCACCAGCCTGGCTTTCTTCCTTACTTTTTTTTTTCTCCTGAGCTTTAACATTTTTGATTAATTTGTTCTTATTTAAATCCAAGTTAGTTGGGGCGCCTGGGTGGCTCAGTCGGTTGAGCGTCCGACTTTGGCTCAGGTCATGAGCTCACTGTTCGTGGGTTCGAGCCCCGTGTCGGGCTCTGTGCTGGCAGCTAGCTCAGAGCCTGGAGCCTGCTTCGGATTTTGTGTCTCCCTCTTTCTCTGACCCCTCCCTGCTCACTCACTCTCTCTCTCTCTCTCTCTCAAAAATAAATAAAACATTAAAAAAAAATTTAAATCCAAGTTAGTTAACGTGTACACCAGCCTGCCTTTCAAACCTGGCTCTACACTCACTAGCCCTGGGCTCTGGAGGAAGTGCTCACCCTCTGCACTTTCTCCACCTATACATCAGGGATGTGGAGTAAGGACCAAAGACCATGGAAAGCTAATGCTGGGCAAAGGCTCCAGCACAGTGCCTGGCAGAGGGCAGCCCTTCACTGCACACAGTTTCTTTCTCTCTGCCCCTCCCAAAAAAGGAGAGAGTGTGGGATGAAATGGCCCAACCTCCTGACATCGAAGGGGAGAGTCACAGGGCTGAGAGGGATGATCCTCCATCCAGCTCTCCCCCCAACACAAGGGGGCAGCTTGAAGCCAAGGGGAGGTCTGGGCTCACCTCGGAAACAGCCACGAGTGAGGTTCCCCAGGGTGCAGATCTCCCCAGCGCGGCAGCGGAGGGGCTCACACAGCAGCACCCCTGAGCTGGCGCAAGTGCAGCGCTGAGAGCAATCCTCAGTCACAAAGCTGTCACCCCGCTGGAGAGGGGAGAAGGGCCGGGAGGAGAAGGTCTGGTTTTTCTCCCTCCTCTGGCTCTCCTGCCCCCGCAAGGGCCTCCCACTCCCAACCTGGACCTGGTAGTAGATGCCGTTGCTGGTGCAGCCACAGTGGTCCAGGGGAAGGCTCCGGGCGCCACTGTAGACATAGCCAGGGAGGGTGGCACAGCCTTCCACGCAGGGGCCCTCGCAGTCCCTAGGGGCTGCCGGGTTGGCACAGGAGGCTGGGCAGGGTGTCATACAGCTCTGATAGACGGTATTGGCTGGACACACCAAGGCTGATGGGAAAGTCATAGTGAGAAGGTGGCCAGGCTGGGGCCAACCCCACAGATATGGGGAATGTGGGGCTGGAAGCTGGAGCGGGGAACAAGGTCATCTGACAGAACCCAGAGCTTGGTAAAGGCCAGGAAGCCAGAAGTGTGGGTTGGCTCTGTGTGTCTTTCTGTCTGTGACATTAAAGCGTGCTAAGGAAGTGGAGAAGCAAAGCGGGGCATTGGCGGCAAGAAGGAGCGAGAAGGAGCGGGATGGGCGACAGGGGTGGGTGGGGTGCAGCTTCCTGGGTGGGGCAGAGAGGGAGGCTGGGTCAGGAGGACTCGGATGTGGTGAGTGGAGGGAGGGATGGAGAAGCACGGCGGGAAGCTCAAGGGGGCAGGAGTGGGGGCTCAGGGCCGAGCAGGGGACAGAAATGGCCAAGACGGCCAGGGACCAGCTGCTGGGGAAGGTCGGTGCCTCACCACAGCGGGTGCGGTCCCGCCAGCCGGCTGGGGTGGCGCCCGCCTCCTGGCAGATGATGGCATAGCCGCTGAGGACCTGGCAGCGAAGTTCCTCCTGCTCTGTGAGGGTCCGGGCAGCACACAGATCAAACACACAGTGCCTGGGGGCAGGAGGATGGTTGGGGGGCTGTCAGAGATGGGGAGGCAAGGACACCCAGCCCTGCAGAGGAGGACCCGGAAGCCCCAGCAGGAAGACATCAGGCGACATGTGTGAGTGTGAGTGTGAGCGTGAGCGTGTGTGTGATTGTGAGTGTGTGTTGGGGGGGAAGCGTATCACAAGGAACTGAAGCCACAGAGAGAAAGAAGTGAGCCAAACCAGAGCTCGGATCACAGATCTGGCAGCAGGACTCTGACAAAGGCCACTTCCATGTGGCCTGGGCCTTCGACTCACTCCTGGAAGGGCTCGGGGGCCACAGTCTGGTGACAGGCAGCAAAGGGGCCCTGGGGGTCCACCAGCACCCTACACGCCTGGGTGCTATTGATGAGCTTCAGCTGCTCCGGGCTGCATTCCGATGCGCGGGAGCCTGACTCCTCCCCTTCCTCCTCTTCCTCCTCCTGTATGGCCCTGGGGCAGAGACCCAGAGGGGATCATGTGAGGCCTGTGAGGACAGTGAACTCTGGAAGGACTGGGGAGGAGTTGCGGGGAGGCAAGGGCCCAGCCTGGGACCCGGAGGACCGCTGCCCCCACAGCTGGTCTGAGAGGCAGGGGCAGAGTGAGATCAGGCAAGTCTGTCTGGGCTCTCAGCCTCGGGTGTCCTCCCCTGTTGAGGATACGGGGTGAGCGCGGTGTGGATACCGAGCCGAGGCTCACCTCCCTGGGCCCAGCACCCCCTGCTCAGAGGCCCCGCCTTCTCACCTGGAGAAGCGGGCGAGGCTCCCAACTGTTGCTCCCAACTGTTGTACCTCCCAACTGTTGCCAAAGCCGACAAGGTCTTGGGTGACGGTGCCACTGGGCAGCATGAAGTCATTCTTCTTGTTCCCGTCAAAGTTCCCGCACAGGCCACGCACGAGCCCCTTGTACTTGCTGGGCAGCGTGATCACTGCAGGAGGAAGGGGTGTCCAGAAGCGGAGCTCGCTGCCTCCTCTCCGCCCCTCCACGCTCATCCCCAGGCACTCGGGGCTCTGCTCCCATGGTAGGGGTCCCCTCACCATGGCTGGCCTGGGGACCATGTGGCTGTCCCAGCCCCATCTCCGAAACGTCCATCCTGCTCTCCCATCCCCCTCTCAGGTACCTGCATTTCGGCCTCCATCGAAGCTGACAAGCATCTCGAAGTCCGTGGTCATAAACAGGCGATGGCCCCGCAGGTTAACCTGCAGACGCTTATCGGGCTGGTAGGGGATGTCCACCTTCTGGTTGTTGACCTGGAGAAGACAGACAGGAGCCATGCAGTCTGGAGTCAGCCCGCCCCTCCTCTGCCTCTCTGCGTGGCTCCATGGCTCTCATTCCACAGAACGAGACACCCCAGTAAGCTTCGCTCCCCTACATCTCTCCTCCTTGGCAGAGTGGATGCCCCTGGTTCTCCTTCAGCCTGGCTCCACCTTCATGCTGCACATTCCCTCCTTCCCTCTCTCCTTGTCTCTCTCTAACCCTCTGGCTCCATCCCACTGCCCTCCTCTGCCTCATCCCATGAGGGGAGTGTGGCACTGATTCTGACTTCAATAACTAGGCAGCCCCGGCCAGGAACTTCCCAGAGCACATGGAACCCTGGCTTCACCTGTCTTCAGTGGCCTCCCGTGGCTCAGGCCTCCCTGCACCCCCCTGGCCGGGCCTGGCTCTTACCACGAGTTCCAGCTGAGCCCGGAGCTGGACTGTGTAGCCATAGATCATCACGATAATTTCGTGCAGGTAGATCGGGCTCCAGGATGAATACAGTTTGTTGCGCCCCTCTACGATCAGGGGGACCACCCCAGTGGGGAGTACATCCACTGTCTTTATCAGAGTATAGGTCATGCGGCCCCGGAAGAGGTAGGTGAGCCCATCAAATGTACGGTAATGGGGGTCCCCGTAAACTGAGCATTGTTCTGATGCTGCCGAGAAGGACCAACACTCAGAAGGGACCCTTCCCCGATAGAACAATGCTCAGAATTCCCCTAAGGCCCTGATGTCTCTGGTCACCCTCCCTCTGAGCCCCAGGTTCCCTGGCTATTTGATCTTCAACCTTCTTCCTTTCCCAGCCCTGATTAAAAATCGTGAGAGATCTCTCAGTCCCGTCCCCTCTGTTGGCACTTAACCTAGGAAATCCTAGGATCGGCCTCGGAGGAGATGAGAGCCCAAATGAGGGTGTAGCATGCCCCACCGCTGCCCATGCTGGGGCCCCTTCCCTCCCTAGACTTTCTCAGCCTGAGCCCCTTCTGGTCCTGCCTCTTGCTCACTCTCCTTAGTTGCCCCTCTTACTGTTAACATCACAGGTGCCAGTGCCGTCGGATTGGGGCTTGCAATGGGAGCCAGAGGGGCAGCTGAACTGCTGGCAGTGAACGGTTCCCAAAGTGCAGGCACACCTTCTGGTGCAGCGAATGGCAATCCAGGTTTTACCCTCCTACAGAAGCCACGGGAAGAAAGAGGGTGTGAGGAAGGAAGGGCCAGGTCTCTCTCTCCCTAGGCTCCCTGACTGTGGTCAGCCTAGGCCCACAGTCCGAATGGCTTACTTGGCCCACGCCAAAGGCAGTTATGGTACCACCTCCTAGAGGCATCTTGCTTGGTGTCCTATGTACGTTGTTCAGGAAATACTATTGGACCCGTCTTCCAGATGAGGAAACTGAGATCGCAGAGGTCCTCCGGCTCATGACTGGTACCCACAGGATTCAAACCAAGGCCACACCCCTCCCGCTATACCTCACCCCATCCCAGCTGTTTGGATTCCTCAGATCCAAAACCCAACCCGTGCACCCCCAGCCCAGCCCTGGCTGGACCCTACCCTGCTCTGTCTCCAGGCTGACAGAGACCCAGGCAAAGAGAAAATGCCAGCCTCAAGGTGTGGTCCCCACCCCTGCTTCCTGTCCCCACTCACAGGGAAGGAGCTGCCATAGTCGTCCGTGCAGCCACCACAGTGACTCCTGGGAACACACTGTTTCCCACTGAGCACGAAGCCAGACTGACAAATGCAGCCCTCCTTGCAGATGGTGGGGACTTGGGTGTCACTGCACTGGCGTGATAGGTCCACGCAGGAAGGTAAGCAGGAGGGAACGCAGGACGAATACTGGGTGTGGATGGGACATTCCAGAGCTGGGGAAGGGGGAGGATAAACAGTTACTGAGCATGGGCTCTGTGCCAGGCCCCAAGGAAAGAAAGGAGTAAGAATGGCCCTCCCTGTTCAGTGTGGGAGACAGAGGTCAGCCAGCAGCCCAGTGACCTTGATGTGTGTGGTCAGTAAGCATGTGACAGGCATGCGTGTGTAACAGGAGCAGCGAGGTGTTCACTCTGTTGCAGGATAGAGATAGAGCCCTGTAAGCAAAGTACCTGTGACTAAATGGTAATGTTCCTGGATAGCAAGAGTCTGCAACATAAAGAAGTCAGTTGTAGGGGCACCTGGGGGGCTCAGTCAGTTAAGTGTCCGACTTTGGCTCAGGTTATGATCCCACAGTTTGTGGGTTCGAGCCCCTCATCGGGCTCTGTGCTGACAGCTGGCTCAGAGCCTGGAACCTGTTTCAGATTCTGTGTCTCCCTCTCTCTCTGACCCTCCCCTGCTCACACTGTCTCTCTCTCTCTCTCAGAAATAAATAAAAACATTAAAAAAAAAAAGAAGTCAGTTGTCCTAAGTTAATTTATACATTTCAGATGACCCCAAGGAAACACACCAGTGGGATTTTGTATTGTTGTTTTAAATTTATTTATTTATTTTATGAGAGACAGAGACAGTGCGTGTTGGGGAGGGGCAGAGAGAGAGGAAGAGAGAGAAATCCCAAGCAGGCTCCCTGCTGTCAGGGGAGAGCCCTACACAGGGCTCTAACACAGGAACTGTGAAATCGGGACCTGAACTGAAACCAAGAGTCAGACGCTTAACCAACTGAGCCTCCCATGTACCCCCATTTTGCTTTTTTAAGAGGGCAAGAAAATATTAAAGTGGAGAGGAAGGTATAAACAAACCAGAAAAACCAAGAAAAGTCTTCAAAAAATGAAAGAAAAGAAAAGAAAGAGCAGTGTGTACTGAGTGTCCCTACCAGAAATGTAAACACAATTGAAACGCTCAATGATCACAATACTGGGTTATTAGTAAGTGAAGACAGAGCAGAGGAAGGAGAAAGAAGACCAGATAGGGACCAAATACATATTGGAATTTAGTATAGAATAAATCATGGCATTGGGGCGCCTGGGTGGCTTAGTCGGTTAAGTGTCCGACTTTCGCTTAGGTCATGATCTCGCGGTTCGTGGGTTTGAGCCCCGCGTCAGACTCTGTGCTGACTGCCGGCTCGGAGCCTAGAGCCTGTTTCAGTCTGTGACTCCCTCTCTCTCTGACCCTCCCCTGCTCACGCTGTCTCTCTCTCTCCTAGAAATAAATAAAAATATTTAAAAAAAAGAATAAATCATGGCATCTCAGGCAGTAGGGAAAAAAGAGACAGGTCATTTAAGATGCTGGGGAAAAAAATAAAAGCAAATATGATTCACATCTCATACTGTGCACCAGGATCAAAGTCCCTATGGATTAAACATTTAAATATAAAAAAAGAAACCATAGGGCTGGCTTGGTCAGTAGCCCTACGCTGAGTTTAGAACTTACTTTAAAAAAATTAGAAAGAAACCATAAAAATGCTGAAGCAGGGGCTCAGTCAGTTGAATGTCCGATCCTGACCTCAGCTCAGGTCATGATCTCATGGTTAGTGGGTTCAAGCCCCAGGGTGAGCTCTGACTGACAGTGCAGAGCCTGCTTGGGATTCTGTCTCTCCCTCTCTCTGTCCCTTCCCTGCTTGTACTCTCCCTCTCTCTCTCAAAATAAATAAACTTTTAAAAAAATGCTGAGGCAGGGGCGCCTGGGTGGCTTAGTCGGTTAAGCGTCCGACTTTCGCTTAGGTCATGATCTCACGGTTCGTGGGTTCGAGCCCCGCGTCGGGCTCTGTGCTGACTGCCAGCTCAGAGCCTGGAGCCTGTTTCAGTCTGTGACTCCCTCTCTCTCTGACCCTCCCCTGCTTGCACTGTCTCTCTCTCTCTCTCCTAGAAATAAATAAAAAACATTAAAAAATTTAAAAAAATTAAAAAAAAAATGCTGAGGCAAAACATGCACAAATTCTTTTTTTAATAAAAAATTTTATGTTTATTTATTTGTTTTGAGAGAGAGATGGAGAGCACAAGTAGGGGAAGGGCAGAGAGAGAGGGGGAGAGAATCCAAATCAGGCTCCCCCCTGTCAGCACAGAACCTGATGGGCGGCTCGAACCCACTAACTGAGATCATGACCTGGGCCAAAGTCGCTTCACTGACTGAGCCATCCAGGGGCCCATGAGCAAATTCTTTTTTGGGTATGGCATTTATAACTATAGCTCCAAACGCAGAAGCCACAGAACAAAGACTAGCATATGCTACGCCCCTACAGACACATATCTCTTTTATTTGCATGACCAAAAAAGTCAAAGATTAAAAAAAAAAAGGAACTGGAAAAATGTTTGTAGCTCATAACACTAATAGAGGGCTGCTTACTCTCTCTGATAGGTAAAGGACCTCCATGAGATAGTCTGATAAAAGCTAAGGAGCCAGTGGGGAAAAAATGGTGAAGGGATATGAAGACAGAGTTCCCAGGAAAAGAAGTTCAAACAACTCCCAAACATATGGAAGAATGCATAACCTCGCTCATAGGGAAAATGCAAATTCAGACTGTCTTTTTCATGTATCAATTGGCAAAGGTTCCCAAGTGTGACAATGTGTGGTGTTGGCGAGGCTGTGGGGAATCAGGCACTCTCCCTTGTTGCTGGTGGGAATGTAAACTCCTCACCCACTATGGAAAGCCAACTGGCAACATTTCTCAGAAGAGCGAATGCAAACAGTCCTTCATCTGGCATCCCACCCCAGGAATTTATCCTACGGACAGACTCACCCATAGAAAATCATAACTGCACAAGGTTATCCAATGCAGTGCTGTCTACGGTAACAATTGGAAAAAGCTAGAAAGTCTGTCAACAGGAGACTAGTTAAATAAATTAGGACAAACAAGGAGAGCCTGGCTGGCTCTATCTGTGGAGCATGCAACTCTTGATCTCGGGGTTGTGAGTTTGAGCCCCACATTGGGTGTCGAGATTAGTTAAAAATAGAATCTTTAAAAAAATTATGACACAAGGCACCTATGTGGCTCAGTCTGTTAGGCGTCCAACTCTTGATTTTGGCTCAGGTCATGATCTCACGGTTTGTTGGTTTGAGCACGTTGGCGGGCTCTGCACTGATGGGGTGGAGCCTACTTGGGATTCTCTCTCTTTCTCTCTCTCTTTCTGCCCTTCCCTCACTTCTCTTTCTCTCTCTCTCTCTCTCTCTGCCCTTCCCTCACTTGTGTTCTCTCTCTCTTAAAAATAAACAAACATTTAAAACATTATGACGGGGTGCCTGGATGGCTCAGTGGGTTAAGTGTCTGACTTCGGCTCAGGTCATGATTACACGGTTCATGGGTTCAAGCCCCGCGTCGGGCTCTGTGCTGACAGCTAGCTCAGAGCCTGGCGCCTGTTTTGGATTCTGTGCCTCCCTCTCTCTCTGACCCTCCCCTGCTCACGCTGTCTCTCTCTCTCTCTCTCTCAGAAATAAATAAAACATTTAAAAATTAAAAAAAAAAAATTATGACAGGTGCGCCTGGCTGGCTCAGTCATTTGAGAGTCTGACTCTTGATTTCAGCTCAGGTCGTGATCCCAGAGTCGTGGGCTTGAGCAGCGGGGAGCCTGCTTAAGATTCTCTCTCTCCCTCTGCTCCTCTTCCCAACTCCCACACATGACCTCTAAACAAATAAAACTTATGACAAATGAATTTTCATGTAATAATGCGATATCACAGAGCTGCAAGAGAGAATGAGGGCGTTCCTTAGCACATCTGATGTGAAAGGATCTCCAAGCTAGATTACCAAGCTAGCAAGATACAATGCAATCTACTGTGTCTCGTATGCTATTTGTAAAAAAAAAAAAAAAAAAAAAATTGATTTATATTTGTTTCTATGGGTATTAAGTAGAAGATCTTTGGAAAAACACTCAGATGCTGATAAGGGCAGGCTGTGACCTGGGCCCAGAGGGTCTGGGGGGAGGGAGACTCTTCACTGGCAATCTTTTTTGTTTTTTTTTTTTTAAATTTATTCTTTTAGTAATCTCCACACCCAACATGGGGCTTGAACTCATGACCCCAACATCAAGAACTGCATGGTCTTCCAGCTGAGCCACCCATGCGCCCTGGGCAATCTTTTAATACGTTAAAAGTTCCTGAACCATGTGAATGCGTCACATCCTAAAAACACACTAACCACTGTCTTAAAGTTCAAAAGGTTCTGGAATTATATAGTGGTGATGGTTGCAGAACCTCATAAATACCCTAGAACACAATGAATTGTATTTTTAAAGTGGTGACTATTATGGTATGTGGATTTTAATTTGAAGAAAATAACGTTAAGAGCTACAGAAGGATGCCCAGGAGTCTGCCAGGAGGCGAGAAGAAGGACCTTTCCAGGTCAGGGAGCGGTATGGATAAAGGCAAGGAGGGGTGTGGAAAGGCAAGGCCCCTGTGTGCCATCCGCATCCCCGGGGTTGGGGCACTGGCGAAGACATTGCTGCAAAGGAGCCACGTCGGAACAATGAGGTCAGACGCAGGTTGGGCACAACCCAAAAGGAAGACAGGGAGCTTTTAAGGGATACAAAGACGGAATGGAGGCGTGGGAGCACTCTGGGGTGATTGTAGGGGACACTCACGGCAGAAACTGCTGTTTCTCCAGATTGGGGGCTGGAGCCCCTGGGCCCGGCAGGCAGCTGCAAAGTTTTCCAGAGATTCACAGAGGGCATGGTTTAGGCCTCCGAACTGACAGAGGTTGTGGGTACAGTTGAGAAGGAAGGGCCTGAGGAACACGTTGGTGGCACATTTAGTCCAGGCCAGAGTCTGAAAGGCCGCCTGGCACTGTTCCTGAGCTCTGGCGAGGTCATCGCTCCTGCAGTTTATATTCTGATTCTGCAGCTGTATGGCTCGGGTTTCCTGGCTCTCTTTTTGGCAACTGCAGAGGAGACAAGGGTCATCATAGGGACAGCCACGGCCCCACCTATGAAAATGACCTGGCACTCCCAAGTGACTCAGAAGACCCCCTTGTCTTGTCTTCCCCAGGAAGCTGGTCTGAGCTCTGGCCACCTTCCGGCAGCCTCAGTCCCTCCCCACACTCTGAAGCCAAGAAAGGAAAGCTCCCGTGTCCCCAGATAGGTTCCGGAGACCCAGAAAGCATCCTATGTTGAGTTGCACACACATAGGAACGCCCCAGTCTTCCATCCCGGGTGCACCATACGGTCTGGGTTCCCAACTCTTGTTCCTATGAAAGGTTAGAGGCTTTGGGGACAATTAATTACTTTGGGTGAGACTCCTTATCTTGCCAACTCTCCACAAATTCAGTGTCATTCTGGGCTAATTCGTCATTGGGCATCATGAGCTCATCCTCCTCCTCACCATTGAAGTTTCCACACAAGCCACAGACCTGGGTGGGCGAAAGATTTCTCAGAGCCAGGGAGGCAAAAGAGCCTTTTTTGGGGAGGCCTGGGTGGCTCAGTCTGTTGGGCGTTCAACTTTGGCTCAGGTCATGATCTCATAGTTTGTGGGTTTGAGCCCTGTACTGGGCTCGCAGCTGTCAGCATAGAGCCTGCTTCAAATCCTCTGTCTCCCTCTCCCTCTGCTCCCTACCCCCTTCCCACTCTCACTCGCTTTCTCTCTCTCTCAAAGAAAAAAAATTTTTAAAGAAAAGAGCTTTTTTCATCGGGGCCCGAATTTCCACTCCTAAGAAAAAGGCGCACTCCCAGCCCTCCTCCAGTCTGGGGAGTGACTGGTTAGGTCTGGAGAGGGCTCGGCACCCTCTTGAGACAGATTTCCCTGGAGAAAAGCCAGAGGATTCCCCCACCTTTTGGTAATAGGCTCCAGGGAGCTGGACCTCAAAGAAATCTTTGCCATCAAACTTGACCTGGACCCCGATGTTAAAAGAGAGTATGGTGTTGTTGCCAACAACACGGATTCTGAGCCCTCGGATCTCGGTGGTCAAGGGAAAGGTGACCTGTGTGCCGTTGATCTACAGAGGAGGGCAGAGCAGGTGAGTGGGAAGAGGGACTGGAGCGCCCTCCCCAGAGCTGGCCTCCTCCCTTCCCGCCCATGCCACCTGGCTCACCAGCACACGCTGGTCCTTCATCAAGGTGATGAGGGTATTAAAGACATCAACGTTGACCTGGTTGAGGTAGGAAACAGCAGATTGGCCTTTCTTCTTCCCATACTTGACACTGATCTTGAAGAAAGGCAGGTCCATGGTGGAGTGGCACACTTTCACCAGGATGACAGTGCAGGTGTCCCTGATGGTACGGTAAGCGCCATCGAAGCTGAGGTACTGAGAGTGGTTAGAGGTGCGGCACACTCCCATACCTGGCCGAGAGAGAGGGGTTGCTGAGGAGTGGTCCAGCCTCCATAAGAACAAGAGCTCTCCCCATCTTCGAGGAGATGTGAAGGCGAAGGAAGGAGGCCCCTCAGGGAGGGAAGAAGAGGGGAAAAAAAAAAGGCTCAGTGGCCAGGCTAGGATGAGGCTTGGGGGTAGAGGGGGCGCTATTCTGTCAGAGAAGGTGGCATTGTAATGGGACTCATAACGTCCCATCTAAGTTCACGGCCGGGGCAGCCACGAGTGAACCTGAGGAGCTAGTCCCAATGGCACAGGGGTCATCATTCCTGGCCAGAAGTTCTTTGGGACACCAGACATAGGAGCCCGAGGGCCACAGATGACAGGAGAGGGGGTGGGGGAGTTGGGCAGAGGGGTCTTGGTGACGCTGGGGTCCCTCTGCGTTCAGGGGCCTTGTACCTGAAGCTCGGCAGCGTAGCAGCCCATCCAGGGGCCAGCACATCTGGCCAGGCTTGCAGGCAGTCTGCTGGCAGGAGATGGTGTTATAAGTGGAGCAGGTGCAAAGCCTGGCACAGCTGTTGTCCGTGTACCATCTCTCCCCGACCTGTGGGATGTGGGCATCAACAGAGCCAATGGAAGTTTGGAAGCCAGAGCTGTACAGAACCCTCTACCCCAGGCGCCCCCTCTGGCTTGCTCCCCTTGGCTGCTCGCCTCCATCCCGACTTTCTCAGCCTTTGGGCTTCTGGACTTGCTGCTCAGCCCCTACCACTGGCCCCACCACCTTGCTCCTTCACAGATGCTGAGACCTTCTGCTCCCCAGGCATGTGGAATTGCGGTCCGGCCTCTCACCGGGTGGTAGTAGCCCTCTTGGTCGATGCAGCCGCACTGGCTGAGGGGCACACAGGAGGTTCCGCTCAGGATGTGACCTTTCTGGCACTCACAGCCCTCTGTACAGGGCAGCGCTGCTGGGCAGTCTCTGCGGGCATTCAGGCTGAAGCAGGTGGCGGGGCAGGGGTTGGCACAGGAGCTGTAGCTGCTGCCGGATGCACACTTCAGAGCTAAGAAGAAACCAGTGTCAGAAAGGGCAGTGATTTCCAGCACCTTGAGCTCGGGGCATCGAGATTTCCCAGGGAATGTTCATCAGATGAATGGGTGAACAAAATGAGGTCTATCTACACAGTGGACTATTATTCAGTCTTTAAAAAGGCATTCTGGGGGTGCCTGGGTGGCTCAGTCAGTTAAACGTCTGACTTCGGCTCAGCTCGTGATCTCATGGTTCGTGAGTTTGAGCCCCGCGTCAGGCTCTGGGCTGACAGCTCTGAGCCTGCAGCCTGCTTCAGATTCTGTGCCTCCCTCTCTCTCTGCCCCTCTCCTCACGTTCTCTCTCGCCCAAAAATAAATTTTAAAAATTTTAATGAAATGAATAAACATTAAAAAATTTATTTTTCTTTTTTATCAAAATTTTTAAATGTTTTATTTATTTTTGAGAGAGAGAGAGAGCATGAGCAGGGGAGGATCAGAGAGAGAGTGAGGCATAGAATCCGAAACAGGCTCCAGGCTTTGAGCCGGCTGTCAGCACAGAGCCCGACGCGGGGCTCGAACCCACAAACCGCGAGGTCATGACCTGAGCCGAAGTTGGACGCTTAACCGACTGAGCCCCCCAGGAGCCCCAACACTGAAAACTTTTTTAAGTCATTAAGATGGGAAATTTTATGTTATGTATATTTTACCACAATAAAAAAAAAAAGAGTTCCCCGAAAAGAGAGGAAGGAAGAAAGGGAACAGAGCTGGCCCAGGTCAGAGGGGAAGGAGGCAGTAACCAAATGAAAGTGGAATGTCTTGGTGAGGAGAGAGTCAGATGGAGGAGGTTCCCAAGGCAGGGCAGACACATTGAGGGTGGGGGTTGGGTTGGAAGGGACTGGAAGGCAGGGAAGGGACGGGGATTCCACGTGAGGCTGAGGGCCAGGCTGTGAAGGAAGAACGGAGGAGCAGACTTCAAGGACAGGAGGAAAGAAAGGGGTTCTGGCAGCCTCCTCTCAGCTTTGGGAGCAGGTGATTGGGTCACTCACGGCAGAAGGTGCTGTTCCGCCAGGAGAGGGCCCGGCCGGCATGGGCGCACAGGGATGCATAGGCCTGCAGGGAGCGGCACAGGGTCAGGGTGTCCCCCTTGGTCCCACACTGGCCATACAGACAGCTGGTGAAGCTGGACTGGGGAGGCACCACCCCGTGGCACTGAGAGAAGGGTCCTGGAAGAGGAAACGATGTAGGTGTGAAGGCAGAGAGTCAGCTTGGAAGGGACAAGAACCACGCAGCTGACTCGGAGTGAATTCAACATCCATTTCAATCAGGACCCGTATTTATTGAGAATGTACTGAGATAAAAAAAAAAAAAAAAAAGCAGTCCATCAGAACTCCTAAGGTGAGTACTGCCTCCATCTTACCTTCCTCTTGCCTTCCTCCTGACTTTCCATTAATTTCATGTCTCATCCTTCCTCCCTCCCTGACCAGTCCTCTCCTCTGTCTCTGGCCAGGGGAGGAAAACACTGTGACCACCAAGGGATGTGGCTTACCCTGAGGGTTCATTAAGACATCACAGTTCTTTTCCCAGCTGTTTGCCCCTCTGTTCTCCTGGCATCTGGAGGGCTTTGGACCCTTAGCAAAGCAGCTGAATGGAGAGAGGGGAAGGGGCAGGAATTTAAGATTGGAGGAAGCTGCCCCAAAACTGAAGCGACACTGGAGGGGGAAGATGGGAAGGGAATAAGGCCAGGAGAAGAGAACAAAGTGGCCCCTCAAGCAGGAAGGTCAGAAGATGCAGCAGGAAGGAATGAGGTGAGCACTCAGGATGGGATTCCCAAGAAGATTATCCAAAGAGGGGCACCTGGGTGGCTCAGTCGGTTAAGCATCTCACGGTTCGTGGGTTCAAGCCCCACATCGGGCTCTGTGCTGACAACTAGCTCAGAGCCTGGAGCCTGTTTCTGATTCTGTGTCTCCCTTTCTCTCTGACCCTCCCCTGCTCGCAACATCTCTCTCCCTCTCTCTATCTCTCTCTCAGAAATAAATAAAACATTAAAAAAAAAAAAAAGACTCTCCAAAGAGACAGATGAGTAAGCACAGAAGGCAAGTGGGGGCAGGGGAGGTGGGAACAACAATCTTTGGTCCGTTCCAGTCCCTGGAGAGATCAGGGACGCACAGCGGATGCCCCAGGCTGCCAGCCGAGGGTTCTCCCCAGCTCTGGCTCCTGCAATCCCAGCTTACCCTGCTTCAGAGTACTCAGGGAACTTCCAGGCGACTCCCAGGCCAACTGAGCTGTCCACAGGCCTTTTGTTCGGGAGCAGATTGTCATCTAGGCTATTGTTGTTGTAGTTGCCTGGAGGAGGGTCCAGTCAGAGGCCAAAGACCCGCCCCCAGGACCACCACCTTCCTCTCACTCTTCACTCAACAGACCACAGTTCACCTTTCTTCCTCTTTCCCTTTGTCCTCTCAACACCTACCCTCAAGCACAGCAGACAAGCCCTCAGGACGCCTACTGAAATGTGTGGGTGAGCAGGACTGAGACAGACTCCTGCCCATTGTCGCCACTTGGCCCGCAAATGCCCAGGGAACTCACCACACAGCCCACAGAGCTGGCCAGCGTAGGAGGAGGGCACTGTCACTTCGGCCAGATGGTTCCCATCGTAGCGAATTTGAAGCCCAAAGTCCGTGTAGAGGAGGATAAAGGAGCCGCTAGGTCTTATGCTCACCCGGCCTTGTGCAGGCCACACAGGCAGGGCCACCCGGCGACCATTCAGCTACAGAGGCAGGGAGGACGCGGTAGGGAGAGCCGCTTGGGACAAAGACAATGGGGCCAAGACCAGGCAGCAGACAGCAATGGTGATGCATCTGCGGAATTGGGGCTGGGTCTGCCGTGGGCTTCCCCCAGGGGCTCTAGAAGCTAGACAGGTGGGCCTGCAGGCAAGGAGGGGGCAGAGAAGAGATGCGGAGTGGGCTGGGGGTGTAGGGACCAGGGGAGGTGGGCCGAGGCACGCACCACGACCTTGCGGCCTTTGATCAGCGAGATTCTCAGGTTGAAGATCTGCAAGTGGACGGATCTGACGTAAGAAGCCTCCAAGTTCCCATTGCGAAATTCATTGGTGACACTCACGACGAAGTAGTTTTCCCCGGACCTAAGCTGGCAAGGCCTACACAGGATGTAGCTGCAGGTGCCCATGAAGTGGTGCAAGGCTCCGTCGAATGTCAGGTAGTGGGGGTCCCCTGAGACGGTGCAGGTGGCAGACCCTGGATTGAATTCAGAGATGTCCTAGGGGCGCCTTGGTGGCTCAGCTGGTCAAGCGTCCGACTTCCGCTTAGGTCATGATCTCATGGTTCGTGGGTTCGAGCCCTGCGTCGGGCTTTGTGTTGACAGCTAGCTCAGAGCCTGGAGCCTCCTTCAGATTCTGTATCTCCCTTTCTCTCTGACCCTCCCCTGCTCACGCTCGCTCTCTCTCTCAGGAAAAAAAAAAAAAAAAAAAGAGATGTCCTAACCCTGAGCTGCTATCTCGGCGAGTCCACATTGGAATGGGACCCTTGGCTCATCCGTGTGGTTGGCTGAGCCTGGAGAGGTCAAGCACAGGGGCTGCCCCAACCTCACCGGGTCCACGCAGAGACTGCTCTGGCTTGGGCCAACTGCCAGCCAGGCCCCATTAAGCCCTGGCTCTCTCCGGGATGTCTGCTTTAGGGCAAAGCCATGCCCTCGCCCAAGGTCACAGGAGCAGTCCCCCCCTTCCACCTGTCTGCTCACCTAGGGCATGGCAGCCATAGATGCCATCCTGCTGACGACAGACCTCCTGGGCCTGGCACCTCCACTGCACGCAGCGAATTTTACTGCTTCTCTCGCAGGTACAGAGCTGTCTGCAGCCTGGCTTGAACCACCGTTCCCCCACCTGGGGGATGGAAGGAAGGAAGGGAAAGAGGGCATTCCCAGGTCTGCTACTCAGATCACTGGCTTGCTCACGGGGATCGTTCCTGTCATCCCGAAGCTGCAAGCCTGGCATTCGTTCACTTACTCAGTAATTCACTTTTTTGTTCCTTCACTCAACAGATATCTCTGTGTCTGCGCTAGGTGTTAGGTATTCAGGACTGAACTGGATGGATGGATGATGTCCCTGCTCTAACAGCTCACAACGGGGGTGGGGGGGGAGAGGGGCAGTAAACAAATAAACTAATAGATCATGTGCTCCAACAGGATATGCACCTAAAGAAAGCAATCAGGGGACCTGATGAGAGTTTCTTATCGTCAACACAGACAATAAGCACTGGCTCTGGAAGTTTAGAGGAAAGCCTTCTGACTTTGCTTATCAGGAAGGCTTCAAGGAGGCAGCATTTGAATAGAGCCTCAGAGGAGGTGAAGGATTCCAACAGGCATGGGTGGGGGGTGGGGTGGGCAGAGCAGAGATAACGGGGCTACAGAGAAAGTAAAATTGGGGAGAGAGCAAGGCACAGACAGAGCGTTCAGTGGGCTTTCCCAGAGCTAGGCAGAGGGCTGTGATGAACGCCAGTATCGTTCTCAGGGACAGGGTGAGGGACAGGCAGAGAAGGAAGAGAGAAACACCATACATGAGGGTCTGGCTTCAAATGTGCAGACGGGGGTGGAGGGCCCAGGAAGGGGCCAAAGTCCTTCAGCAGAGAAAGGGGCCTGTGGTAGGGGAGGACATGGTGTTTGGAAAGATGTTTTGTGCACATGACGTAGAGAAGTGCCTGGGCCCTCAGAGGATGAGAAACTATTGGAGAAGAGTCAGGGGCCTGAAGGGGAGGGGACGTGGAAGGGGGGAGAGACAGGGGTGCAGCACGGGAAATAGCTGCCAGAGCTCCATCCAGGTCTGCAGGGAGAGTGCTAGAGATGGACAGAGACAGGGGAATCAGATATGGGCCCGAATGTCCCTACTGCCAGCCCTCCACGCCCTGGCTCCCTGGCCTCTCTGTCCTGCACATGGGCTCGCCCAGACTTTGGAAGCAGAGGCCTGCTTTCCTGAGTCACAGCAGAGCCACCCAGCCCCAGAGGCTCACCTTGAAGTAGCCCACCATGGGCTCGAGGCACCCACACTGGGACAAGGGGACGCACTGCAGACCGCTGAGGACAAAGCCCGGGTTGCACTCACAGCCCTCCACACACCGGTTCGGGCAGGCCATGCCAGAGAACCCGGAATGGCAGGTGGCGGGGCACACCGTGGCACACAGCGTGTACGTGCTGTTGGGTGGGCAGGTCATTGCTGGTGGAGGAGGAAGCAGAGAAGGGCACAGGGCAGGATGGGAAAAAGGGAAGGAAGGTGTGTGTTCAGAGCTCAGCGTTCCAAGGCCCCACAGCTAGAGGCTTCTGCCCAATCCTGGGAAGCAGAGGGTGACTGGGAGAAGCGTGACCAAAGAACTCAGCTTCTACTCTGGGCCCAGAAAGCGGCCTGCTGGGAGCTACCAAGAGGCAGGTCCAGGGGAGCAGACAGATCCAAACGTCTCAGTAGTGCTGCTGTGTAGACATGGACTTGCCTACAGGGCAGGGGAGGATGCCCATGGGGGTTTTCGATCAAGGGCACGGTCTTGCCCTAAGCAGGCTCTCAGAGGCTGTGAGGCAGTCATGGTGCACCCACTCACCCCAGGAGTCTGTAGTTTGTGTGTTTTGGAGGACACCTGGGCCACACACACGTGCCTGCACGCATTGCCCCGCACAGCCTCAGGCGGCTGGAGGGCTTTCCGAGTTTGCAAGGGGCCGTGATTTTTCTCCATGGCTATTTCTGCCTGTGCCAGATTCTCCTGGGCACATGTGGAATTGAAGGGGTTCAGCCAGGGGTCCCCCACACTTGTGCCAAAACGCAGATGCCCACCCTCAGCTCGCATCCGTGGGTGAAGGAAGGGGGCCCTGCTGCTCGCCACAACTCACGGCAGAACTGGGATTCCCTCCAGGGCTTCACCGTGTAGCCGGCATCCTGGCAGATCTCAGTCAGGGTTGCCATATGGGCACACAGCACTGGCTGCAGCCCCTGGAATTTACACATGTCAAACATGCAGCTCTTGAAGAATGAGATGGCCTTGAGGTGAGGCAGACACGCCCTGAGGAGAGAGGCTGGGTCAAAGGAGTGATCAGGTGCCTGGTGGCCCCCTCTCCCGCGGCCCTAGCTGGCTCCCTTCATACTCAAAGGCTCCGCGGGTGTCCAAGAGCCGTCCACAGAACTGAAGTCCCGACAGACTGTTCTGCAAGCCTGACTTGCACGAGGGAGGAATTGCCGGGTTCTTCTGGCACCTGGAAGAGACCCACCTGCAACATGCCCTAAAACCTCGCCTCCAGCCGGGCCCCTACCCCAGCGGTCTCGCGGCTCTCGGCGGCCCCTAGCGGACAGAGGCTGAACCCCAAGCCAGAGAGGAGGTGGGGAAACCTGGAGCCAAGCAAACTGGAACAGAGGCTGCTCAGCATCCCCTGGGGACGACGGACCGAATGGGGGGCAGGGCAAGTGTGGTGGTGAGGGGTTAGTGAACTTGGCCAGAACGGGAGCAGGGAGAAGAATGACAGACATGGGGGAGGGGTGCACGGGGGAGAGGAGAAAGAAGAAAGGGGGTGATGGCGGTCAGGGCGCATGGTTCTCAGAAGGGTAGAGGAGCAGGGGGGCAGAGGCGGGGGGGGGAGGGTGGCCACGTCCTCACTCCTTGTCCTCGTCCTCCACCGTCTGCCAGCTGTTGCCCAGCTCCTCCTCGTCCTGCGCTGGGCTGCCGTCCGGCTTCTGGTTGTCATTGCTACCGTCACCGTCATAGTTGCCACAAAAGCCACAGAGTTTGCTAGAGTAGGTGCTGGGGGCAGGGGGAGAAGAGGAGGCATTAATGGAGAGAAGGGGCTCCAGGCCCCGGAGGGACCACACAGAGAAGGGCAGAGCTGGGGCCTCGGACAGGTTGCATCAGAGGATTGACGGGTGCACACTGCGAACAAGGGTCCATGCCAGGCGCCCGGTGCATGGGGACCTCACAAACCCCCACCCCCGAGGCATCCTACTGCCCTGCTCATGCCCCCCTCACTAGCCCTACAAATGTGGGAAACAAAGGCAGAAAGATGTAGATAAAACTACATTTCCTTATAACCTGCAGTCCTTTGACAAATACCTTTTTTTTAATGTTTACTTACTTTTGAGAGAAGAGAGGAGGGGCAGAGAGATAGGGGGACAGAGGATCTGAAGCAGCCTCTGTGCTTATAGCAGAGAGCCTGAAGCGGGGCTTGAACCCATGAACATTGAGATCAAGACCCGAGCTGAAGTCAGACACTTAACCAACTGAGCCACCCAGACTCCCCAACAAACACTTGAGACAGGCAGGGTAGGATGCTCCTCCAGGAGCTCCCATCTGTCTTAATGTCAATGCTTTGCTGGAAGGAAAGACAACATTAGCTTGGCAATAGCTAGGCCTCCAGGATCCTGTGAGTCTTCTTTGGAAGCTTCCCCTCATCTTTACTTCTCCCAACTCCCAAGTTCATAATCAGGCAGCCCTCATAATCCCAGTGCAGCTCCTTCTGCCCATGGGTCCTGTCCCTGTGCTTTAATAAAACCACTTTTTGAGAGTGCCTGGGTGGCTCCATCAGCTAAACGTCCGACTCTTGATTTCTGCTCAGGTCATGGTCTCACCATTCGTGAGTTCGAGCCCCTTGTCAGGCTTCACGCTGCTGAAATGCAGAGCCTGCTTGGGATTCTCTCAATCTCTCTCTCTCTTTCAAAATAAATAAACTTTAAAAAACAAAAAAATTAATAAAACCACCTTTTTTGCACCAAAGACGTCTCAAGAATTCTTTTTGGGGACACCTGGGTGGTTCAGCTGGTTAAGCATCCCACTTTGTTCAGGCCATGATCTCATAGTTCATGAGTTCGAGCTCCACGACGGGCTCTGCGCTGACAACACAGAACCTGGAGCCTGTTTCACATTCTGTGTCTCCCTCCCTCTCTCTGCCCCTCCCCTGCGCACTCTCTCTCTCTCTCTCAAAAATAAACATTAAAAAAAAAAAAAAGAATTCTTTTTGGCCTTCATCTCCCGAACCCCAACACTTCAAACCACACCACTACGACATTCCCACACTCCCACATTCCCGGTTTTCCATGCATTTGCTGTTCACTATCTACAAAGACATTCTTTCCCTTGTTTGTCTGTCTGGGGAGCCACCCTTTCTTGAAGACTGGGGTCAAGTGACCACTGTTCAGGAAGCTTCCAAGACGTATTAGCAACTCCTTCTAGCAAATTCCCAAACCATTGTGTGTATATCCTGCTATTATCATTCTGCCCAGCATGAGGGGCGTCTCCCTGCTCTGCCCCTCCCCTTCCATTCGCGGGGCACCCCTCACCTGGGCACACTCACATACAGCTGCTGGTCGCCATCCCATCTCACCCGCAAACCAAACGCTGTCTGCAACTCCACAAATCGCCCACTTGAAGCCAGGAAGATTCCTTTAGAAGGTACCGCTGGGAGGGTGACTTGCTTACCCCCAACCTGGAAGGCAGAGTAAGGGAGGAGACAGAGACAGGTGGAAAGTCAAGGAGAATCCCCACCCCCATCCCGGCAGATTCCCACATCCACACTGGAAGGCACAGCACCATCCACAGCAATCCTCGGTAACACACAGAATGCTCTGGAACCCGTCCCTGAGAGGGCTGGAGGCCGCAGGAGCTGGCTAGGACACCGCGGCCCACAGGACCGGCCGCGGCCCACAGGACCAGCCACGGCCAGGCCAAGGCCTGGAGGCACTGGCGGGACCGAACAGAAGACCAGACTCACCAGCGTGCGCCTGTCCCTGAGCAGGGTGACGGTGACCTCGGGCAAGGTCACATAGACTTTGCTCAGGCAGGATATGCCTTCTTGTCCTCGGTCCTCATTCTTCGCTGCCACCCTGAAGAATGGTTCTGGGTGGGGGGAGAGGGGTGGAGAGCACTCAAGACCAAGAAGACACTTGCTCTACTCAGAGACGGAAGGCGGGGCCCAGATGTGAGTGGGGCAGGACTGCCTGCCTTTTCCAGAATAGCCTGTACCGAGCTGAGACTGTGCCCCCTCGGTGGACCAGGGCATCGTCCCTTTATTGCCATTATTCCTGGCGGGCCCTCAGTAAAAGCTGGCCAGGGAGACCACTGATAAAGAGAAGTGTCTTAAAGGGCATTCTGGTCCTGAGAAAGTCCTAGTTCTGGGATGGTCATGTCAACCCTTACGTCACTGAAGGCCTTGTTCCCATCTTTCTCCTCCCATCTGCTCCCCAGCCCTTTCCTGCCGCCCACTGTGCTCCCAGCTGTTCAGAACTTAGACCCCTGACCCAGGCATCTCCAGAGCCCTCCCTACCTGTTGAGTTGCCACAGGGTTGGGCCAAGATGTAGGTGCATTTGCCCATGAAGCTGAAGTATCTTCCATCAAAGGTGAGATAGTGCGGGTCTCCGTAGATGGCACAGGTGGCAGTGCCTGCCGGGAAGGAGGTAGGGAGGACACATACAGTGGGCTGCTGCCACTGCTCCACCAAGCAGGCCGGACCACACAGCACCTCACCCACCCAGTGGTGTGCCCCAGCTCTTCTGGTCAAGAGACCCTGGTGTCATACCCACTCTGACCGGCTGGCCGGTGGGGGTCGTGTGCAGGGAGGGGCTCACCATAGGGCTGGCATCCGTACTGGCCGTTCTTCAGCTGGCACACTGTGTGTGTCCCACACTGAGAGATCTGGCACTCCATCCGACTGCCAGGCCTGCAGCGGCAACGTTCTGTGCAGTTGGAGCTGAACCACTCTGCTCCAGGCTGGGAATAGGGGATCCAGAGTCATGATGCTATAGCTCTTGGGGCCCTTCCCCCTCCACTACCACACCTGCAGATCTAACCTGGCTCATACTCTTCCTCTTCCCACCGCCCTACCAGATATTCCTGCTCACCACAGGACATTTGCACATGCTGCCCTCATCCTGGAATGCTCTTCTCCCTCCTTTCTAAATCATTTGTATGCTACCAGCAGAGTTCAGCTCAAGGGTCACTACTTTCTCAGAAAGACTTCTCAGACCCCCTGACTAGGTCATCCTCACAGCTCTAGGTACCTTTCCTTCCCGGACTTAGCACAACTGTACTTTCACATTAATTTCTGTGATTGTTTGATTGCAAGCACTCTGGGAGGGACCATGGCTCTTTATTCACTATCAGAGCCTCAACACATAGCACAGTGCTTGGCAGGAGCTCTCATTCAAGAAACCTTTGCTGTTGGGGGTGCCTGGGGGGCTCAGTGGGTTAAGCCTCTGACTCCTGATTTATGCTCAGGTCATGATCTTACAGCTTGTGAGTTCGAGTCCCACACTGCACTCTTTGTTGACAGTGGGGAGCCTGTTTGAGATTCTCTCTCTTTCTCTCTCTGCCCCCCCGCAAATACACAAACAATAAAGAAAAAGAAACACATGCCGTATCAGAGTGAACCAAGATCCTATGTGTTCCCCAGAATCTAAGACCATTAGGAGAACAAGGACTCAAGAAAGTCCCTGAATGGACAAATGAATATATAAGAAATGCATACATGTCTCCCAGGGCAGGCAAGAGATGCTTAATGCTAGTGGTTGTGATAGATCTTTCTGAGGCTGAAACTAATCCTAACACTGACACAGGGACACTCAGGAGACTGGTTAAAGGGAGGAGAGGGAGAAAGTGTTCTTTAGAGACAAATAGGAACTCAGACGACCCATGGGGAAGAACACCTGGAGCTGAGATGAGCCACTGACACAAGTGAATAGCTTAATGCACTTTTTTTTTAAGTAGGTTCCATGCCCAACATGGGCTTGAACTCACGACCCTGGGATCAAGAGTCACACAAGCTACCAGCTGAACCAGCCAGATGCCCCTAGCTTAACGCACTATAATAGGTTGTGTATGATATTTATCATAATTAGTTAATAACAGTAACATTTATTAAGTACTTGGCCTGTGTTCAGATCTAATTTCAGCTTCACAACAGCCTTATGAGGTAGGTAGAAATTAAAAAAAAATTTTTTTAATGTTTATTCATTTTTGAGAGAGAGAGACTGAGCCTGAGCAGGGGAGGAGCAGAGAGAGAGAGAGACACAGAACCCGAAGCAGGCTCCGGGCTCTGAGTTGTTAGCACAGAGCCCGACGCGGGGCCTAAACCCACAAACTGTGAAATCATGACCTGAGCCAAAGTCGGATACTTAACCGACCAAGCCACCCAGGCGTCACGGTAGAAATTATTATGTACACATTTCGTAGACACAGAAACAGATCTGAAGAGGTAAAGAAACTTGTCCAAGGTCACCCAGCAAGTGAATATTGGAGCCCAGATTTTTCTTTTTCTCTTTTTTCAATGTTTTTTATTTATTTCTGAGAGAGAGAGACACCGTGAGCAGGGGAGGGTCAGAGAGAGAGGGAGACACAGAATCTGAAACAGGCTCCAGGCTCTGAGCTAGCTGTCAGCACAAAGCCCGACGCGGGGCTCAAATCCACGAACTGTGAGATCATGACCTGAGCCAAAGTTGGATGCTTAATCAACTGAGCCACCAAGGTGCCCCCGAAGCCCAAATTTTTCTTAAAAATTTCTTAATGTTTATTTATTTTTGAGAGAGACAGAGACAGAGTGTGAGCAGGAGAGGGGCAGAGAGAGAGGGAGACACAGAATCCAAAGCAGGCTCCAGGCTCTGAGATGTTAGCACAGAGCCCAATGCGGCCTTGAACCCACAAACTGTGAGATCATGACCTGAGCTGAAGTTGGATGCTTAACTGACTGAGCCACCCAGGGGCCCCTGCTGGAACCCAGATTTAAAGCTCCTATCAGCTTGACTCTTGGGTGGCTCTGTCCAATACAGCAGCCACCAGACACGTATGGCCATTGGGCTCTTGAAATGTGGCTGGCCCAAATTGAGATATGCCCTAAGTATAAAATACACACTGGATCTGGAAGAATTAGTATGAAAAAAAAGGAATATAAGTGATCTGATTAATAACTATTAATTACATGTTGCAATGAGAATATTTGAAATTGAGCACCTTATTATTATATTAATGGTATAATAATATATAATATATGTTATATTATATATAATATATAATAATTATATTAATTATGGAATTACTTTTACTTTTTAAAAAAGTGGCTATTAGGAAGTGTAAAATAATGCGTGAGGCTTGCATGCTAATTCTTTTGGACAGCACTGGCTCAGAACCTGTGCTCACATTCAATCTTTCCAGGGGGGCCACCAATTACGGGGAGACAAGAACAGTAACTCCTCTGTTTTGACAGGGTTTCCAAAGTTCTTTTGGAAGAAGATTCTGGAATGCTGTGTTCTGCACATGCAGCCCCCCCCCTGCCCCCCAGCTTTCCTCAAGACAGAGATGAGGGCCTTGGACCACCGGGTTGGCCTAGGGTCTCATGCACAGGTCCGCGGGATGATGGAATCTTCTGCACAGCCTAGCCTAGCTGAGCCAAAGTGGGTATTCAGCGCATATTTATTGCAGGAACAGAGATGACCATCTAAAGCCACATTCAGGATGAATGGCTTCACCACTGCGTAACCTCTGCTTGTGAGCTGGCCCATTGGGACCATCCCATGGATCCACAGGTCATCTCACCTCAGGAACAGGTAGATGGAGCCAGAACCCAAGCGTTCCACTCACAATCTCCCTCAGGGGCCTTACCTCATAGTAATTGTTGTTGTAGAAGCAATTGCAGGACGAGGCACTGATACACTGGGATCCATGAAACAAAAAGCCAGAATTGCAGACACAGCCGGGTTTGCAGGGGAGCCCACAGTTGGGCGTGGGTCTCTCACAGGATGCTGGGCAGGCGCAGTGCTCATAGTGGGCATTTGGGGGACACCACACTAAGAGGAAAACAGCTTGCGTCAAGCCTTCACTCTACTGCTTTTTTCAGGAAGACTTCCTGTCCCTCCTATATCCTCAGGTTCTCTATGAAGTAGGTCCATATCATTTAAGCATAAAGAAGAGTGAAGATCCCACATATGGATGAACTTGAGTTTCTACAACACGGAATAACCTTGAAAACATGATGTGGAGGGGAAGAAGCCAGTCACAAAAGACCACATAGTACATCATTCGCCATGCGTGCAGTGTCCAGAAGAGGCAAATCCATAGACAGGAAGTCGATTAGTGGTTGCCAGGGTGTGGGCATGCTGAGGGTTTGGGGAGAATGTGGAGTGACTGCTAAGGGGTACGGGGTTTCTTTTTGGTGTACAACCTTGTGAATATATAAAAACCACTGAATTGCAAACTTTAAAAGGATGCATCTTATGGTATATGAATAATTTCTCTATAAAAAGGAAGGCATGTGGCGTGCAACTGGCTCAGTCAGTGGAGCATGCGACTCTTGATCTCGGGGTGGTGAGTTAGAGCTCCAGATCAGGTGTAGAGAATACTTAAAAATAGAATCTTAAAAAAAAAAAAAAAAAAAAAAGATGCTGTCAGTCTAGGACTCGGCTCCCAACAACCTCCACCCCACCCATGCCCTGCTTCCCTCTTGGTCGGGGTGGTCTTCATTTTTTCAAAAGTTATCATGTCACATTCATCTCTCCTCTAAGACTGCAGTTTTCTATTAGAAGTATCCATTTACCTAATTCTCTCTCCTACTTACAGTCTCTTACTTTCTGCTGTTGGTTCGATGCTCTGTCACTTACCTGGAGTGTATCCAGGGGTTGTAGTGGTCATGGAGGTACCTGGAGCAGTAGGAGACATCACCAAGACTTTTGGCTCAGTAGGTACAAGTGTTGGGCTGGGCTGGGGTATTATAGGAACTGTGTGCCATTCAGTGGTAAGAGTAGATATTTTTGTGGGGATGGTGGGTTTTTCTGTGGGGATGGTGGTCTTTTCAATAGGGGTGGTAGGTTTTTCTGTGGGATTGGTGGGTTTTTCTGTGGGGACGGTAGGTCTTTCAGTAGAGACAGTGAGTTTTTCTGTAGGGACAGTGATCTTTTCAGTGGGGAAGGTGGGTTTTTCTGTGGGGATGGTAGGCCTTTTGGTAGGGACAGTAATCTTTTCAGTAGGGACAGTAGGTTTTCCTATAGGGATGGTGGTCTTTTCAGTAGGGGTGGTGGGTTTCTCTGTGAGGATGGTGGGCCTTTCAGTGGGGATGGTGGGTTTTTCTGTGGGAAGGGCAGATTTTTCTGTGGGGATGGTGGGCCTTTCAGTGGAGACAGTGGGCTTTTCTGTGGGGGTGGTGATCTTGTCAGTAGGGGTGGTGGGTTTTTCTGTGGGGATGGTGGGCCTTCCAGTAAGGACAATGGTCTCTTCAGAGGGGACAGTGAGTTTTTCTGTGGGGATGGTAGGCCTTTTGGTAGGGATGGTGGTCTTTTCAGTGGGGACAGTGGGTTTTTCTGTGGGGATGGTGGTCTTTTCAGTGAGGGCAGTGGGTTTTTCTGTGGGGATGGTAGGCCTTTCAGCAGGAATGGTGGTCTTTTCAGTGGGGATGGTGGGTTTTTCTGTGGGTATGGTGGTCTTTATAGTGAGGACAGTGGGTTTTTCTGTGGAGATGGCGGTCTTTTCAGTGGGGACAGTCGGTTTTTCTGTGGAGATGGTAGGCCTTTCAGCAGGAACGATGATCTCTTTAGTGAGAACAGTGAGTTTTTCAGTGGGAATAGTGGGCTTTTCTGTTGGGACTGTGGTTTTTTCTATGGGGATGGTGGACTTTTCAGTAGGAATGGTGAGGTCTTCAATGGGAACAGTGGGCTTTTCTGTAGGGATTGTGGACTTTTCTGTCAGGGCCATGGGTTTTTCTGTGAGGACAGTGGGTTTTTCTGTGAGAGCCATAAGTTTTATTTGAGGGGTCATAGCTTTTTCTGTGGGGGCCATGGGTTTTTCTGTGGGGACAGTGGATATTTCACTGGGGACAGTGGGTTTTTCTGTGAGGGCCATAGATTTTATTTGGGAGGTCATAGGTTTTTCTGCGGGGACAGTGGATATTTCACTGGGGGCAGTGGGTTTTTCTGTGACGGTCATGTGTTTTATCTGGGGGGTCATAGGTTTTTCTGTGGGGACCATGGGTTTTTCTGTGGGAACAGTGGATATTTCATGGGGGCCAGCGGGTTTTTCTGTAGCGGCCATAGGTTTTTCTTTGGGAGCTGTAGCTTTTTCTGTGGGAGTCCTAGGTTTTTCTGTGGAGACAAGGGTTTCAGAAGGGCCAGAGGAGGAAATTGGGGATTTGGAAGGAGGCGCCGTTGGCACAGTTCCTGCAAAGAACAAACAAACAAACCCGGGAGTTTAGTCAAAATCAGACCACCACCCTCTTTACTCACTTCCAATTGGAGTGGGTGGCCTCAAAGGGTAACTTATTCACACTTTCTACTTCCAACCCCAACCTTCACTCACTTAACAAGCTCTCAACAAACACTGTTCTTAACGTATGTCAGACGTCGTGGCAAATACAAACGACACAACACGAATAGGATGTCTGTTCTCCCTTCAGGATTGCCATCCACTAGGTAAGGAATCCTGGATCCAACCACAGAAATTCACTGCATCAAAGTCACATGCACACAAGCAAGCATCCTGATGCCACCGGGAAGGCAGAGGGGGGCAGAACGTAGAACACAAAGCAGTGTGAAAATGCGCACAGGAGAGAACTTGATTTTCAGCCTTCCGAGAGATAGTCGTCCCAGAGCACAGCCCCCTTTCTGGGCCCTTGAGTTTTGTCTTACCTCGACAAGTCCCGTGATTAATCAAGATAAAACCCACGGCAACAACAAAGGCAGAGTTGGTCCCTCTGATGGCCTCAAATATCAGCTGAAGGGTCAGAGAAGGAGAGAGAGAAGAGAGAAATCCAGCTGAATCCATGTCAGCTCAAGGATTCTCCCAGACAGCCTGTCCTCTGCCAAAAGGTCACCTTGTTCTAGGCTCAACAATCCAACTCTACCCCTGCTCCTTTTCAGGATCCAGGTATCCCTCTTGGGGACACCGAGTTCACCTCTGTTCCCTTTCCCATCTCCTCAGCCCTGGTTGTCCCTGGGTATTATGTCCCCTTCACTAGGCCCCACACAGGGCCCGCTCTCTGTCTCTCACCTGCATGGGCTGTTGATGCCCCGAAAGGATGGTGACAGAGGTGTTCAGCCAGTTGGGGCTCTGAGACCCAACGCGGTGCCAGAGAGAAGTTGGGAAACTGCCCGCAGGACTCTCCAGCAGGAGGTTGAGTTTAGTGCCCTCTCCCAGGCCATACATGTGGTAGGTAAAGTCCACACAGATCGCACCCGGGGCACAGAAGGGCCGGCTCACCAGTCTGAAAGACTGGCCTGGCTCAGAGAAGTTGTCAGCCTCGACATAGATATAGCGACCTTCTGGGCAAAAGAAAGGAATCAAAAGAAGGGCAAGATGACAAACCTCCGGAGGACACTCTTGTGTTGTTTTCTTTAGCAACACCTTGCCTTTCAAATGAGGTTTTGTTTTGTTTTGTTTTGTTTTGTTTTAAATATTTTTATTTATTTCTAGGTGAGAGAGAGAGAGACAGCGTGAGCAGGGGAGGGTCAGAGAGAGAGGGAGTCACAGACTGAAAAAGGCTCCAGGCTCTGAGCTGGCAGTCAGCGCAGAGCCCGACGCGGGGCTCGAACCCACGAACCGCGAGATCATGACCTAAGCGAAAGTCAGACGCTTAACCGACTAAGCCACCCAGGCGCCCCTCAAATGAGGTTTTGACACAAACACCCAAACTCTCCACGTTATAAGCAGGGTTTTTTTTTCCCTCCTTGTTTAGGACTTCTAGCTGAAAAATGTAGGATCAGAAAGAAAGGGAACACCAAACAAACAACCCAGATTCCTTTGCTGGCTGCACCAGTAAATGTCATGACTGAAAATGAGGTTATGGATTTTGAAGGCTCAGGCTCAGTGAAGTGAGATTACTAGATTTTCTGGGGGCTTCAGTGACCCCCACAGCCAGGAGAATCTTCAATCCACTCGGATTTGTGGCATCTCCCCAGCTTGGGCCCCATGGCAGCCTCCCAATAAACACCTGATGGCTGATCGTTGTCACCTATACCTACAATATCTTTTTCCTTCAATCATACCAACCAATTCCCCAGCTGGGAGAGGGTTCAGTAATTCATTGTTTGGGGGGGGATCCTCAATCTCCTCACCTCCATTGGAACCTCCAAAAGCACCTGTACCCTGGATGTGCATATTTTTTCTTCCCCGGGTCCAGTGTCCACCATCCCCTGATGCCTGGGCCCATTCACAGAAGGGATGGGCATCATCTTCAAAGTCACACTGAGGAAAGCTCTCTAGGGGATCAAAATGGGTGATATGAGAAATTTGGGCCATGCTCTCTATTCCTCCCCTATCCTGTCCCCCCCCCACCCCATGCCTGATCTGAGCGATCTGGTGGAGGCCCTACTCCTCCCAGGGACTTGCTCTCACCCCCACAGGGAGCAATGCTGATCGCATCCACTGCCACAGCTGGCTCTGGGGACTCTCCAAACACACCCACCACAGTGAACTGAAGAAAGAGAGAGAAAGGAGGCTGCGAGTGAACAAAGAGCCCAAATGTTCAACCCCCACCCCACGCATTTAATTTTACTCTATTTAGGAACCCAGGCATCCTTCTCCCAGTGCCCAGACCCTCAATCCATTTCAATATCAAAGGTGCCTACCACGTGCAAGGGGTCCCTGACCTCTTGCTTCTCTGTACCTGAATTTGTCCCTGGGCTGTGTAATTGACAGAAACAGGCTGCCAGTTGGGTCCAGGTTGTCCTGAGAAAAGAGTGTGTTTCCTGATGCTGCCTGCAAATGGATGGTCCAAGAGAGAACTGACTTATTAAGGGGACGGAAAAATGACCTCAAACCTATATTCAGGGGGCTCCATGGGTTCGGTGTCTAACTTCAGCTCAGGTCATGATCTCACAGTCTGTGAGTTCAAACCCCATGTCAGGCTCTGTGCTGACAGCTCAGAGCCTGGAGCCTGCTTCAGATTCTGTGTCTTCCTCTCTCTCTGCCCCTCCCCTGCTCATGCTCTCTCTCAAAAATAAGTAAACATTTGGGGTGCCTGGATGGCTCAGTCGGTTAAGCATCTGACTTCGGCTCAGGTCATGATCTCACGGTTTGTGGGTTCAAGCCACGCGTCAGGCTCTGTGCTGACAGCTCAGAGCCTGGAGCCTGTCTTCAGATTCTGTGACTCCCTCTCTCGACCCTACCCTGTTCACTCTGTCTCTCTCTCTCTCTCTCAAAAATAAATAAAACATTAAAAATAAAAAAAATAAGTAAACATTTAAAAAATTAGGAAAAAAACCCCCCTATGCTCAGAAAGAATAGTAGCAAAGGGAACACTTAGGAGTATATTCCCCTCTCCCAAATGCAAGCACATCCTTCTCTCTTATTCTCCTGGCACTTTTATCTCTTTTTCTAGAAGTCAGCCCTCTCCTGGTGCCCCAATTCTACTTGCATATATCCTAGATTTCCCTGGAAACATGGGATGCTCCATATTTTCCTGTCAACCCAACCCTGGGAGATGAGTCTCAGGTCAGCGTAAAAATCCTGACTGCCAGTCTCACCCAAGACGGAAGCATAGATGGTGAGGGCTGCACCAGGTGACTGGCCATGGAGGACGTAGTGGAAGGAGAGGCTCAGACAGCCAGAGGACTGGCTCAGGGGGCTCAGGAGGGCAGATTTCTGCATTGGTTTTCCATTCTTGGGGTCCAGGAGCATATAGAAGCCACCTACAAAGTAAAAGGCCAGTAAGGTGAGATAGCTGAAATTGAGGGATAGGGCCCTGTGACCACAGGGGTCCTGGGCCTGGAAAGTCCCAACAGCTGCCTATGATCAGCTAGCGCTGCAGTGGGCCTCCATCTGTCCGAGGCCTTCGAACTTTCCAGAAATGCTCCGCAAGACTGGGTAGAGCCGCAGCATCGCAGCATCATCTCAGAAGCAGCCGCCAGAACCTTGTCCTTCGGGTTTTGACGCTTTAGGTCCCCCAGGATCATACTTTCTTCCTTTTCCGGACCCAGGCGGCATAGCTGACTCACACAAACTGGTGAGAGAGAGCTGTTCTGAGGCCTAGAAGCCGAAATCGTCTCATACCACCCCCTCCGGCAGTTCAAGCAACCAATCAACCTAGACCTCGCTCCTTGACGCAACTGGTAGCCGGAGAAAAAGTGAGGCGGCGCAGGCGCGCTCGGTCTTCACTCTCGAGCGGTTTTGCCTGGTGAGCGCGCACTCAACGCGTCTGGAAAGGCGGACTTCAGGAAGGCCGAAGAGAGGGCAGAAGAGGAGGGAAGAGAAAAGAGAGGAGACAGCAGGGAAGGAGAAGGGAAGGAGAAGGAGGGAAGTGGTAAATGGTGAAAGAAACGCCAGGGGGGCGATAATGGGATAGCTGGTTGGTGGAAAGAAGTGAGAGGAAAAGAAAGGAAAGCTGGAAAAATAGAAGGAAGCAAGCTGAAAAAAGAAAGAGAGAGAAAATTGAAATAACAACCAACGTTTACTGGAACTGTTGGGGTGCTGGGGTAATGCGCAGATGGGCTGGCCCTACTCTCTTCTCCAGGGCCTTGAAGGGAAGGGGAGGGGCGGTTCTCCAGGTCTTTCTGGAAGGCTGACCTCAGGCATCAGGAAAGCCCAAAGGAGAGCCTGCAGTTGAAGTGAGCAGAAAGGGCTTCTGGGTGCTGGGGGGAGATGGAGAAGTGGGGGGGGGTTAAACCACACAGGAAAATGAAGGGAGAGGATTAAGAATGGAGAACTGCAAAGGGCCAGAGAACAAAGAAGAGGTGGGAATTTAGGAAAGAAATCAGGGAGCGTGGTTCTCAGGTTTGACCTGCAGAGCTTGGCACTCTGTGAGGGCTGGAGATGCATTGAGAGGTAGCTGCTGTGGGCAAGAGAAAAGGAGCAGAGGCACAGGGAAGGAAGGAATGGGCTGGGGGGAAGTGGAAAGAGGGAAGGAAGGGAGGAGGGGTCATCCGTGGAAAGAAAAGGCCAGCCAAGAGCACAGAGATGGTGGGAAAGAAGCTACAGATAGACATAGATGCAATGGAAGAGGAGGCGTATTGCCGGGCTTATTACAAATGTTTCCTAAATGGCCTCTCTGCATCTGCCTTTGGCAGTTCCCTTCAGTGTATTCTCAATGCAGAAACAATAACACAAACCACAACAACAGAAAATAGGTGATCCTTTTAAACATAAGTCAGATAAAGTCACTCCTCTGCTCCAAATCCTGCAAAGGCTCCCTATCCACATCCGTAGAGAATCAAAGCCATAGTTCTGACAATGGCCTTCAAGGCCTCAAGTCATCAGCCCCGCCTAGGACTGTTCTAAGCTCATCTTCTCTATCCTTGCCAGGTGGCCTCTTGTATCTCAGGACTTCCCCTACCCCTTAGTTCACTGTCACCTCAGGACCTTTGCATGGCTGGCCCCTCAGCTTAGAATGTTCTTCCTCCCTATATGTTCAGTTGGTCGTCTCTCACCTGCTTCAAGTTTATGCTCAAAGATAACCTGAATGAGACCTACCCTGAACACCCTGTTTAAAACTCACACACCCCCCGCCTTACTCCTGCACTCCTAATCTTATTTTGTTTGACTTTCATTTTTCTAATAGTCCGGCTATAAGTATATAATTTATTTCTTTATTGTTTTAGGAGCCATCTTCCTCTCATCCCCTGCCATTCCTAGTCTTTTGTAAGACTTGATGTATCTCAAGGGCCTAGGACAGCACCTGGTACACCATAGGCACTCAGTAGCTACTTGTTGAATGAATGGATAAATGAATAAATGGAGAGTGCATAAATGAATGGTGCCAGGGAAGGGAGATGAGGAGTAGGCTGTGTGGAGTCTGCCAGGTGGAGTTTGTGGGATGGCAGTGGGGGGAGCCAAGGTGTGGAGTTTCCTTTCTGCTGAGTAATGTGGGCTCGGCGAGGTTTGAAGTTGCTGGGGTTACATCCGCAGGCATTTACTGTATGGTTGTCAAGCAAACATCTTAAAACTCCTGCAGAGGTCACTAGAAGCCCAGAAAGTCAAAGGACGGAAGTGTGGTCATTACTCACTGCCAGGGCTGGAGAAATCATCCTCAGGCCCCACGTTCGGCACCCCAGACGACCCCTTCTTCTGGACCCACTTGGCCCCAGAGGCTGTCGGGATCCAGCTCCAGCCGCAGAGATCATTTGGAATGTCGAAGCTGCACGTTTGCATCATGCAGACTGAGGGGAGAAAGCGGGGGTGGGAGGGAGGATTTAGCTTTTTCTAGGAGGATGCAGCTCTAAAAAGGATGCCTCAGTCTGGGGTCAGAATGCTGAGCCCCAGTCTGTGTACTACTGTGAGCCATGGTGGGCTCTGGAGCCAGGTACAGTTCCACTCCTCAGTGCCTTATTCCTGGGACATGTTACTGAATCTGCCCAAACCTCAGGTCCTCATCTGTAACTTGGAATGACAGCACCTGCCTGTCTTACATTAGGTCATATGTGGAGAGCGACTAGTATGACCCTGTGCTCAGTAAGTGTTAATCACTTGGACTCCGCTTCTGGAATTTTCCTTCACCTTTGTTTACTCCCCGTGAATCTCTATATGTCAGCCTAGAGAGCTAATTCAGGATGGGTCTGGGGGAACAGCTGGAGTGGCCAGACATTCAGTTTTGCCCAGGGACTGAGGCATTCCTGAGAGGCAGGACTTTGAGTGCAAAAATAGGGACAGCCCAGGGCAGACCGGACTTGGTTGGTCAGTCTCAAAGTTATGACCACAACTCTGTTCGTAGAGAACATCTCTTTAGGTGTAGCTGGCTCAGGATTCAAAGGTGTGAAGTGTGGAGGTAGAGGGAAGCCAGAAGCTGGGCAGATGGTGGAGGCAGAGAGAGGAGGAGGGGCAGGTGCTCACTCTGGTTGCAGGAGCCCCGGTGGATGGAGATGGCATCCAAAGCGATGTCCAGGTAAGCTGTGCTGCCCCTCACTCCTTCGAACATCACCTGCGGGAGAAAGGAGGGGACCACCCACCCTGTAAGCTCCTTTGCCTCAGGCTCCCACTTTTCTGCCTGAATTCAGATGGCCCAGTCCCAGCGCCCCCTCCTTGCCCTGGCCCCTCCTGCCCCCTCCCCACCCAGATTCCCACAGGGGCCCAAGGCTCTGCCCTCAGCCTCACCTGACTGGGCAGGGTAAGCCCAATAGGCACGGTGACAGTGGTGGGAATCCAGGAGGGGTTCTGGGTGTCAGTGTGTTTCCAGAGCAGGCTGGGGCGCTTCTTCTTGGTGTCCCTGAGCAGCAGCAGTTTGAGCTGGGCGCCCCAGGAAAGCCCAAACATGTGGTAGGCGAAGTGCACGCAGAGGGGGCCTTGCTTCCATATGGGGGGGCTGCATAGGCGGGCCACCCCGCCCCGGTGGAAAGTGCTTGATGCCATGTGCAGGTAGTGGCCCTCTGTGGGAGGCAGAGCCCAGGATGATGAGGAGGCCCTCCCACCCCCTTCCCAGAGCCCAGGTGTCCGCTTCCAGTAGCCTCCCTTCCCCCTGCACCCAGGTCTGCCCATGCCTACCTCCTAGCTGTCTCCCTAAACCTTAGGCTTCCTCACCTCCATTGGGGTAGCCCCCAGGGGGACCCATGCTGCCGATGGGGGAGGGTCCACTGGCTCGAGTCCAGTCCCCATCATCTGTGGACACTTGGGTCCAGTCACAGAGGGGTTTGGAGTTATCCTCAAAGTCACACTGAGTGAGAATAGCTGGGAAGAAAGGGCTGCTCTGAGGCCAGGAGAGGGGAGAGGGCCAACAGCAGAGCCACACTGGGGGTGGGGTTTAGCAGGGTTGCATAGCTTAGAGAACGCAGCCACTATGTGGGTCCAGAGCAGAGATTTGGAAAAAATAATCCGAGAAATAAGAATCTCGCAGGAGAAATTCAGGGCGGGGTGGGGCAGGGTAGAATGACTTCTAGGACAGGGGTTGCAACCTGATATCCCAAGGGCTGGATTCAGCTGGGCAGACAGACTTTGTCTGGACGCAGGCATTTTGTTAATTTGAATGTTCATCTTCTAGGTAGGGCTTGGACTCTATACCGCCGTGTTCCTCCCTCCTCCATTACCCAAGCGCTGCCCTCACATGTTATTATGTGCTTATGCCGTCGCCCACGCCAGAGGACACTTGAGATGGCCACCCCACCCTGGGGAAGGAGAAAGGCCTGAGTGGTGCTGGTTTCCAACTCACGGTTATCCCTAGAGCTGTGAGCAACCGGCTTCCAGTCCGGAGGCTTCTCTTTCCTTGGGGTTGGAGAAAGAAAGAAAAAAAAAAAAGTAATATTTGTCATCATCAAGAATCATAAGCCTTGATGATTGTGAACTTTCTGAGTGGTCCTTCATGAAGGATTTCTTGGTATCCTTATTGCACCAAATTGTAAGCAGTGAACATATGTCTACTTGTCTTTAAGGTTTTCAAAAGGTCGGGGCACTTGCGTGGCTCAGTAGGTGGGGCAACCGACTTTGGCATAAGTCATGATCTCACCGCTCATGGGTTTGAGCCTCGCATCCAGCTCTGTGTTGACAGCTCAGAGCCTGGAGCCTGCTTGGGATTCTGTGTCTCTATGCCCCTTCCCAGCCAGTGCTCTCTCTCTCAAAAAATAAACATTAAAAAAAAAAGAAGTCACCTAACCTCCTCATGTTAAATTCTCATCGATCTCCTAAAAAACAAAATAAAATAGTAAGTGTCTTCCCTCGGAGCGCCTCACATCACCTCTGGTTCCCTCCGTGCCTCCGTGCCTCTGTGAGGCTGCGTTGGAGCCTCTATGGAAGAGGCACCAAATCATGTGTATGCAAGTTCCTGAGCAGTGCCTCTGTGTTTATACCTGGGGAAACTCCTTCCTCAGAGCTGAGGTCCTCAAGTGCTATAGCCCAAGCTCTCCCCATAGAGCGGGGACTATGTGGTCCCATGCTGCCCTAGCTACATGCCACTGAACAGATAGATGAGTAACACAGGAATGGCCCCTCCTCGCCCTACGAATAACACCTCCCCAGATGGTGTAGGCCAAATAGAACAGCCCTTTGCTTTACTTGTACAAGTTTACTTGCTCAAATCCCACAAAACAAGCTCCAGGACACCAAGGCATCTATCATTTCTTGCTGCCTCTACCTGAAGTCTCCTGTCTGCTGGGTTTGGCCCATTTCCTGAGGGCCCAGCCTCTCCTCTCTGTCTCTCCAGCTCTGTGTCTCCTCACTCTCTCTAATGTCTGGTCTCTGTCCTATTCCCTCTGAGCTTCTCATCCTCTCAGTTCCTGGTGCTCAAGCTATGGGGGTTCCCCCCACTGTTCCTGTTCATCATCCCCTTCCTCCCCATCATTACCCTACTTGCCCCCTCCAGTTTTGCCCCTCACTCCCCCCCCCCGAGTCACCCCTGATCACCTCCTGAGCCCAGCTTACCGGACAGGGGCAGGCATGTGGCCCCGGCCCCAGGCAGCCCCCACCAGCAGCACCAGAGTCCAGACTGGAGGAGCCATGTGGGACCTCAGAGGCGACTCTCAGGGAAGAGGGGAAGGCACAGTGAGACCAGGCCACTTTATCTACCCCTGACTCTCCTCACTTGACATCCTTCCAAGGATGCCATGAAAACCAGACAGTCAGAGAACATGAGAACGCTCTGGGAAATGAAAACTACAAGGGCGGAAATTTAAAATCCAATGAAAGGAAATGAGATGAGAGCAGGAGAGAAGGAGAGCAAGAGAGAAAGACCAAGAGAAAGAGACTTAGAGAAGCAGTCCAGAAAGTCTAGCATCCAACCAAAGAGTTCAAATCAGAAAGAACAAAGGAAAAGAAAGGACTTCAGAAAAACTACTCAAGAAGATTTCCTAGGACTGAACTAAAAGTCTCTTGATGAAAAGGGGTCTCTTATAATGGATGCAAAGACACCTATAGAAGGCGTGTCATGAGATTTCAGAGAATGAAGGTGGGGAGAGAAGACCCTAACCACTTTCAGATAGAAAGAAGCAGGTCACATACTAAGGATCAGGAATCAGCATGGCGTCAGGCTTTTCAATAGCAACCAGGGGTTCTAAGAGGCAGTGGAACATTGTCTGCAGAATTCCAACAGAAAATCATTTCAAATCTAAAATTCTATAGCTGGCAACAGTGGTGAAAACGACTGGCAGGTCGAATGGAGGGCTGGCAATGCTTACTGGCAAAGAATCAGAAAAGACAAGTCCCAGAGGAAGACACACCACCAGCCAGTAAACATCGAAGAAGATGTCCTGCTTCACTAGTGATAAGGAAAATACTAGTCAGAACTACAACTGTCACATTGACAACCATTTAAGAGATTGAAAGCTTTAAGCCCTGGCCAGGATACAGGTAAACGTACTCAAATACATTGATGCTATGACTATGTTGGTGAAAACTTCTTGAAAGGTAATTTGACAGTAACTCTCAAACTTCTTAACATGCACATCTTTGACCCCACCTTACCTTTCCAGGCATCTTCCCCCAGAAATACGTGCCTATTTGCACATAGCTGGGCACATCTTAAAGATGTTAATTGTGGCATTGATTACAGCAGGAAAAAAAAATCAAGATTACCCAAACATTTGCCAGCAGAGATGTGGTTGGATCATAGTCAAGGACTATTTTTCCTATGGAGGAATATTATGTACATATTAAAAAGCATGGCACTCCTCCAAAAGTTAAAAATAGAATTACCATAGGGCCCAGCAATTCCACTTTTGGGTGTATACCCAAAATAATTGAACACAAAGACAAAGAGATAGGTAACCTGGTCGCCCATGTTTACCGTGGCATTATTCACCATAGCCAAAAGGTGAGAGCAACCCAGAAATCCACAAAGCCAAAAATATGGCACGTACATACAATGGAATATTATTCAGTCTTTTTTTTTTCTTATTTTTATTTATTTCTAGGAGAGAGAGAGACAGCGTGAGCAGGGGAGGGTCAGAGAGGGAGACACAGACTCCGAAATAGGCTCCAGGCTCTGAGCTGGCAGTCAGCACAGAGCCCGACGCGGGGCTTGAACCCACGAACCGCGAGATCATGACTGAAGCGAAAGTCGGATGCTTAACCGACTAAGCCACCCAGGTGCCCCCAGCCTTTGTTTTTTTAATGTTATTTATTTATTTACTTATTTTTGAGAGAGACAGAGCAGAGGAGGGGCAGAGAGAGACACACACAGAATCTGAAGCAGGCTCCAGTCTCCGAGCTGTCAGCCCAGAGCCTGACATGGGACTCAAACCGTGAGATCATGACCTGAGCTGAAGTCTGTTGCTTAACCGACTGAGCCACCCAGGCGCCCCTCGTTCAGCCTTTAAAATGAAGGAAATTCTCACACATGCTACAACATTGAGGACATTATGCTAAGTGAAATAAGCCTGACACAGAAGGACAAATAGCATATGATTCCGCTTGTGTGAGGTGCCTCCAGTCGTCACACTCCCAGAGACAAAAAGTAGAATGATGGTTGGCAGGAACAAGAAGTTTGTCTTTCATGGGGACAGAATTTCAGCTTGGGAAGTTGCACAGGTGGTGTGGATAGCCAGTGGTGATGATGGCACAACACAAACGTACTTAATGCCACTGAACTGTACACTTAAAAATGGTTAAGAAGAGAGGTGCCTGGCTGACTCAGTTGAAAGACTATGAGACTTTTTTTTTTTGAAATTTCTTTTTTTTTT